TTTTTTTTTTTTTTTTGACAGAACCTCTTATGACATCATTTTATCAAATTGGTAGAAGTAATGTTTAGTAAAGTATTATTTTTGTTGCATAAATATCTTTACACGAGAGTGGTCTTAAAATTCTTATTAATATTATTGGATTTAAGCTTCGTGCATTTGCTCTTGAGATAAAAACACAAGTTAATCTACTATTTAATTTTTTGTCTAAAATCAAACCCAATTATTTAACTTTAGTAAAATAGAATAATGGAGTAATCACAAACATCAATAATATCAAATGGAAAGTAGTTTTTCCTTAGAGTGATCAAGACAAAAAAATATTTCATTCAATTAATTTTTTTTTGTCACTTATTAAACTATAAGAAGACCCAACCGATCCATATTTAAAATAATGGATAGGTTCTAGTTAGTTTCACAACTAATTTCTGTTTCGGTTTGAAGAACTAAATAAATTTGGTTTAAATCTGTTAGAACAGGTTTTCAAAAAATAAATGCTAATTTATGATTGTAAGTATAGAACAACCTTTAAGTACAAATAGTTACGTCTACAATTTAATAAATTAAATTTGTACTGCAATCCACCTATGTGGTGAAATCTTTTGTTGGTTTTGTTTATATTATATTATACAAGAAGTCAATAATAAATGTTAATTATTCATATTATTATTATTCATAAATACTAACAATGTATATAAAATGATTCCTTTACTACACCTCACGAACTATTTTTTGTTTAATCGAAGTCATGATATAATACAATCTTTTGTACTTTTTAACAATAAACATTATTTTAGATTTTATGTATGACAATAGTTTAATCAATTTATAATTATTTATAATTATAATAAAAGTTTATAAGCGTTTTGATGAATACGCTTTGATATTTGTAATTGATATCTTATATAGTAATAAATATTTATAGACAGACATAAGTTTATATGACGTTTCAGGAAAATATTTACGAGAGCTAATTCAAGGGGTACGCTTTCACCTCTCCCATTTAATCAAGCGAATACTAATATTTTTTTTTTTTAAATTAATTATTTTGTTAATAAAGTTGCTGGACGTATTAAGACTGACGCATTGGGTTGATTAGTAATTATGGAAAATGTTTTTACTTTTTTTGATCATTCGATTAATCGCCTCTTATGAACTTAACTTCTTTTTATTTTATTTAATTAAGCCCCCTTATTTACTCTTAAATGTTTAAAATTAATAATTAATTAATTTTTAAAAATCCTATTCTGGTACGACTCTATGTCTCGCCAAATAGTTTAGCGACCCTCGTTTTATAATTTTACAGGTGCACTGAAAATTTCAGTTTTGTTTTGCTCAAAATTAAATTAAATTTTTTATAACCTTTCAAGGTGATTTTCCAAATATTACTTTGTTCTAAAAGTAATTTTTAAAAAGTGTTTCATAAAACATTTTTTAAAAACACACTTGAAACGCTTAGTTGAGAACTAATAGTGTGTTGTCAGTGTTTCAACTTATTTAAATAAAACAAATAAACTAGTCAAAAAATATATGTATTTTAAAAATTTTAATTAATTAAACAAATATATTATTTTACATTAATAATAGCGTCAAATTTACGTCTATCAGTAGTAAAAACAAACAAACATAGCTATTGAACTTCATTACCGTTGGGCCCATTTTTACTAAAAAAAAACAGGTGTTATTGTAAAAACTTAATAAAATAAATAACGTAAAAATATATAGCGTATCTAAACACCATATTGTTTATTAACATAATATGATTGATCTTAATATGAAATCCTACCGGTTTATTTAGTTGTGTAGTACTATTTTGTTGTTCCGACTTGGGCAAAATATCTTCAAATATATTTGTACACTGGTTAATTTTATCAAAGCACTCATTTAAGTTACTGACATGATCAAAATAATAATTTTCTTCGAGTGTATAACATATAAATGCTATTGAATTGTCAAACACCTCTGTCGGTGATGCTTTTTGACTGACAAGGTTATTTACTTGTATATCCAATTTTTCAATTAATTCCTCTGTCAGATAAATACCTGGGAAAAAGACATTTGACTTTGACATGAAAAATATGTTATTTAAAGCTAATTAGTAGTGCACGCAAATATTTTTCTGAAGAATAAAAAATAATATAAAATATTTTTGACGATTTTGTTTTTGTACAAAAAACTACAAAAAATCAAAAATCAATATTCATTTTGAAGGGATTACACTTTATTAATCGCAACTCTTTTGTGTTATTATATCTAATGACATTGTATGTTAATTGATTTTCTTATATAATATATTACTTCTATTCACATTAGTTAAATATTATTTTTGATATTATCGTAATAATTTTGATGAAATTTTTAACCTAATAAGCTAAAATTTCATTTTTAAAATTGTCATCATTTTTAAATACTTGTTATGGATTATGGTACATCTGTATTTAAAAAATTGTTTGTTTGTAGAAGCCGGTAAAACTTTTTCATAGTTTCATATGGTTTTTAATGACTTTTTTTTATTCAAAAATCTTTTAAAAGTTACATTTTTTATCAAAATTTTGTTAAAGCGTGCACTTAGAGTTTGGAGGGGGGGCTTACGCTCATCAAGCCTGAAATTATTAATACTATTATTATTTTAAAATATTCTTCGAGATTGTAACCATATATACAGATTGTTCTTTTGCGAGTGCGATAGGATATAACGGGTAAGTATGATGTGAAGTTAGTTTATCTGAATTTATTTGGATGATTGTAGAAATTATGTTAATTCACTATAAAGCAATTAAAAATAAAGACTAGTTAAATTATTTTATTATTAATTTAAATGAACAAAATACCTAAAGCCACGCCTGCTGGGATTTGATCAACGTATTTTCGCATACAATCAATAAAATTAAATTTTACTTTTTGTATTTTATTTATTTTTGACTCGCTATTTTTGTCATCAGATTCGTTATAGGATCCAGCATTAGATTTCATATTAGATTCTTTGTTAGATAAAGAATTGGATTCATCATTAGATTTAAAATTAGATTCTTCGTTAGATAAAGAATTGGATTCATCATTAGATTTAAAATTAAATTCTTCGTTAGATAAAGAATTGGATTCATCATTAGATTTAACATTAAATTCCTTGTTAGATAGAGAATTAAATTCATCATAAGATTCCTTGTTAGATAGAGAATTTAATTCATCATTAGATTTAACTTTAGATTCTTCGTTAGATAGAGAATTGGATTCATTATTAGATTCCTTGTTAGATAGAGAATTTGATTCATCATTAGATTTAACTTTAGATTCTTCGTTAGATAGAGAATTGGATTCATTATTAGATTTCTCGTTAAATCGAGTATTGGTTTCATCATTAGAATTAACATTAGATTTCTCGTTAGATCGAGTATTGGATTCATCATTAGAATTAACATTAGATTCCTGGATAGATAGAGAAGTAGATCCAACATTAGAATCAAAATTAGTTCCCACATTAAAATTTCTTCGTTTTCCAACAATAATAAATGGTTTTACTGTCTTAAAAAAAAATATATATATATTTAATTAAAAAGTTTATTTAATAATATAGATTTGAAGATTACACGGAAAAACAATATGATTTTATTTTTGTTATTTGAGAAAATAGAGTTTTAAACTTCAAAACGCCCACAATTATTTTAACCAACTAAATATTCCAAATAAGATAAAATGTGAAGATTTTATATATAGTAAACTAAATTTAATTATGGTTGCAATCTTTGATAATAATTACATTGAAATATAATAGAAGAGTTATTCTTTTTAAAGTTTTTATTATATTTTATTAGTACATTTTTAGGAAACAAGATAAGTTACCTAAAAACAGGCAAGTTTTCTAAACAAGAAAATAACCAGGGTTGTAAGGTTCTTGAGATATAGAAATTTTTAAAAATATTATCTTATAGTTGGTTATTGTATATAGTTAAACACTAATTTCCAATTCAAATTATTTTTAAAAGAATAAAAAACCTTTAAATCATGAAACAATTTGAAGAACTATGGTTTCAACATAAAAATAAAAAAATATTAAATCATTTAATTATTTAAATTATTATTCTAAAGCAACCTTTGTAATTTTTTTAAATGTATTTTTTAATAATATTTCTAAAATTTTAGCACTAAAATATTAGAGTAAATGGGATGATAAGATGATAAATTTTAAACAAATTTTTTGTCTTTTAATTTAATGTTTATTTTAAAGTACAGTCCGATTCTAAATTTGGAATTAATTTCTCATATAAAATAATTAAACTGTTAATAAAATAAATAATAATATATACAGGTTGACTTTAGTTATTAGTTGAGTACGTAACAAAAAATATTAAATTTTCAGTCAAGCAGAATTTAATTCTGAAATTATATGATTCTATAGAATAATCTATAGTATCACTCAGTTTTTCGTTCAAGTAATTATTATGAAATTACCATAATCTTAGTAATCATTATTGGTTATTTTTTATAAAAATTTTAAACTATCAGATAATTGCTTACGATTTCACCCGTTTTCGGATCTTGAAAATAGCCTAGTGTAAACAAATTATTACGAAATATTATTGTACATTTTTTAACTTCTATTTTGCATTCCTCAATATTACTGCGAACACTAAAGTATAAATTTTTATCCAATAAATCACAAACAAAATTTGTCAAATCATCAAATGCTATACTCTGTGATATTTTTAAATTTACGACATTTTCAACCAGAGAATTCACTTTTTTTTTCATTTCTTCTCTAAAATACATTGCTAAAAAAAATTAAGATGTATTTTTATTTCGACTAAATTTGATTTAATTTAGTAACAATATTTAAACTAAAATACAATCGTGCCAGTTTTTTAAATAAAATCATACTTTTTTCAAGTAAACTTTCTTTTTTTAATGATAAAATAAACTTTATTTTCCATAACTTACTCAATATTGGAAATTTATAAATATAAGGGTAAGTAATTTTATAGCATTGATATCAGATATTAATTTTGTGTTTTCTCTAAAAGCTGATATGTTATTTTTAGTAATTTTTAGGAGATAATAATGTTTTATGTTTTTTATGGGTATTGACATATTTGAAGTACAAATAACAAAACTTTCCCAACAAAATTGACTTGTAATTTGTTGCTATATGATAGACAACATATAATAGTTATAAAAATCTTAAAAACCTATATATGTACATATCATTGACATATCAATTTTTTTATATAAGCCATTTAATTAACATTTGAATGAGTATAGAATTTTATTAAAAGATACAAAAAGTAAAATATTTTACCTATTATTGGGTCAATGAATTCCTTATTAACATAATTATTTAAACAACTTCCTAATGGAATACTTGCTTTATACACTAATTGAGGAGGTATTGACATTTTCCCCTGTCGAAAATCAAAAACTAATGAACATATTTATATAGAAAAATGTTGGTAATTATAACTTTAAGTTTAAAACTTCGATTATTTTATACAAATCTTGAATTATAAACTAAGTGCTTACTATTTCAGCCTTTTTTGATTCTTTATCATTGTTTGTTAAAAACAAACTATTATGAAATATTGTTGTACATTTTGTTATTTCTTTTTTGCATTCGTCAATATTACTGTGAACACTAAAGTATAAATTTTCATCCAATAAATGACAAGCAAAATTTGACAAATCATCAATTACTATACTCCGGGGCATTTTTTTATTTACGACATTCTCAACTAAAAGGTTTATTTTTTCTTTCAAGTCGTTCCTAAAAATTATTGCTTGAAAAAAAAAAATTAAATTACTATTTAAATTTGATAGAGCTTTTTAATAAATACGAAGTATTAAGTGTCAATTAAAAATTTAATAATTGTTTTCTTTTTATTAATTCAATTTTATTTAAACATTTAATAAATTTAAATAATACAAATAACGGAGTACTAGTTAAATAAAAAAAAAAACCAATACAGCCGGGACACGGCTCAGTAGATACTTGGTATAGAGAGAACTAATATAGATTGATATTTTACAGTGATTAAAATCACTATCGTAAAATGCCAAAGAAAGATCGACCCTTTTCGGATAAAAATTTTTCGATAGAAAAAATGTCCTCTAAAACTTATTTTTAATTAATTTGTTGGATCTGGACTAATATCTGCAAAACCTCTTCCTAAAAATATTAGGGGTTTTTGAACAAATTATAATTTCTTCAAAACCCTTTCAAATAAGTTTTTGTACTACGTTTTATTCAATTTTTATGAATTTTGCGATTTTTATACGAATATCGTGTTTTTTTTTAATTTTGATGTCAACTTAGAAGATAAGTCCAGAGGTCAATTTTTTTTTAACTTGAAATACAAAACATAATCTTTTATTTAAAATATTTTTAAAAATGCGAGAATTTCCTGAACATTTTTAAAACTTAAGCTAAAAAGTTTTTTTTTCAACTTAATAATAACATAATACGTAACATAAACTTTAATTTAAGATTTATTAAAATATCAGGTGTCGATATTTTCGAAAGTTACTATTTTGAATATCTTAGTATTTTAAAACATATCTAACAAGTATACATCATAAATGGATGAATGAGGTTTCGGATTTAAATATGACATTCATTAGTATTGTTTGTGAAATGAACTTTAAAAACTATAAGGTACTATGGTCAGAGGGTGAGGTTGATAATGATAAATAGCCCAATATACGATTGACCCATATGTCCTCATGTTAATATTAATTTCTGCTATTTTCTCAAGTATTTCACCTAACACTTTGTTCGTATTTATCGTATATTATCATTTTCAATTATTAAATTATACCGCATAGGCGTATGGTTAAAAATGTTTTGAGAAGGATAAATTTAATTTCTTCTTTCCTGAAAACATTTTTTCATGAAGTACACATGATTTTTTTTAAAAAAATTAGTGTGATTAATCTTTTAACTGACGGGCTTAACGTTCTCACCATACGGCTACAAGAAATATTAAGGAAATATAAAGTAGTTGAAATATATTTTCACAATATAAAATTCAACTATAGCTAAAATAACTACATTGTCGTAATAATATTTTTCAACTACTATAAAACTGTTAGATATTTCATAATTTAGAAAAATTCAACGATTAAAAATAATATAAAATGTTAATTTGCTGATTTCAAAAATCTAAATTGTTAAAAATTTTGCTCAATTTCCAAGAAATGAAGGAAATTTATTCAAATATTCAAAGTAAAGTTTTCAACTAGATACTATTTGTAATTTTTAGAAATATCTCTAAGTAAAATTAGTCCAGTGAGAGCTAAAAAAAGTGTGGTCAGATATACATAAAAAAAAAAAACTACATTAATAATAAAAATAAAAACATATCTATGATGTTTATATATATTTAAACTTACACTTTCAGCTTACTCAGCTTTTCATTGAAGCTAAAAAACTGTAATCTTTTTAAGTTTCAGAATATTTAGTCAAAATATTCGTTATATATTATTTTTTGATAATCTTATAACATTAAATTAATTAAATTTAACATTAAACATTTCATTTTTTTTTTTTTTTTTACAATAATGAAAAACTAAATTTTATAACTTTTTAATATAGAAAATATTTATTAAGAATGCTGTAACCACGATAAAGATTTTTGAATCTAGGTCTCACCTAATTACTTCCTATACAAAAATAAAATATTTATGAAAAGATTCAAAAATTAAAATAGTTTACCAAATTCTGGTGTGATAATGTCATTATTGACGTATTCATTCAAACATTTTCCGAAGTCAATACTTGCTTTATATACTAATTCTGGAGTTACTGTCAATTTATCATTTTGAATGGCAAAAGCAGTCGAAAAAACCTACGGAAACTTTACAATTTACAATTGTTTGGTATAAAAAACAATACATTTTTCAAGAATACTTGAATTATTTAATGATATACACTACCGCTCAAAAGTTTTATTTTTTAATTCTACAAAATTTAGTCGGTTATGCTATCTAAAAACGTAAATTTCGAAGAATCTCAAGCATGAAATAAAACTCAAAATCTTTGTAAACGTCAATGTAAATGTATTTTTTTATTAGAGTGATAACTTCTCCTAAAATAATGCAAATAAATACTATTACATGAGGAAATCTTGTTTTTTAAATTTTATGATAATTATGTGTTAAACCTAAACTTTTCAGTTCCATGTCGATAGTGCACTTGTAACCAAGTTCTTTTTAATTTTCTCCATTAAAAGCTCTTACGGTTATGTGAAATAAATCGGAATTGCGTAAATCACTTAGAGCGGAGTACAATCATTAAGGACTATACGTTTGGTGAACATCATTTTAAATTAATGAATTAGTTCAACTTTAGTATAAAAACAGTATTACAACAAAAAGGCCAGAAAATGAGCCGCCCAGAATTACTTTATAGTATCGGTTTAGTTAATAGTACAACATTAATGTCATAGCGAACTAGTAATAAAAACTCTAAACTCTCTCCATCAACAACATATAAAAATCAGGTGACAAATAATGACTTTTACATACGTCAGATAACGAAAAAGAACCTAATTAATTAATAACTGATACACAAAACAATGTTTGGAATCTTAAATCATATAAATAAACTAACTGCAGTACTGCATAAGAAAAGAGTGGACATTGCTCTTATATCTGAATCCCACCTTTCTATACTCTCACGATTAAATATTCTTGGTTATAATTTAATAACTCTTATCATCCCGATAACATTACACATGCCAGTCTTGCAATAAACACAGTTAAAACACTCTTTAAAACACAATTAAAATATTACTGTTTACTTAATATAAATGAAAATTATTTACAATCTTGCACAATAAAAATAATTTAAAATAATAACACAATAATCATCAATATACACAATAAAAATTTAAATGCTACTTTAAAATACTATGCCAAAACTTTATAGTTGGCAAATACATTAATGTTAAACATCCAAACTGGGGATGTCAAACAAACAACTCACGGAGTAATCATCTTCTTTAACTTATTTCATTAGCACTACAAAATACTCTCTTCACCAGATCCCACCTACTAGTCGACTTCACTATCAAAACGTTCTGACATGCTTGATATTTTTATCACTAAAATTCCAAATAACATTTTTTGACAAATTAAAAACTTTAATTATTTGTGCTAAGACCACTATTCGGTTACACCAAATATTAACAAAACGTCTCCTACTCGATTCAATAACCCTCCACTAACAATAAAAAACAACAAATTGGGAAAAATTTCAAAAAATATTAACTGACATCATATATTGAAATATTAAACTAAAAACTCCTCAAAATATAGATGATATGGTAAAAAACTTAACACAGTCAATATAAACCGCTGCCATTTCCGCTACTCCTCCTAGTAATAATTATTCCCCTTTTCTCATTAATCTCCCAATTTAAATTAAATCGTATCTAGTCGAAGACATTACCATCAAAAATTGAACAAATTTTCCTCGTCCCCCGTAAATGGGGGAAGACATCCAAAAAAATTACAAATTTAAAAATCGCTAATTATTGACATTTTTTCAATTTTTTTTTTTTCTTAAAACTGTCATAACTTTTTTAAAAATGACCAAATCAATATAATTTTTTTTATAGATGCTTGATGCCTTTACCTATTATTTGATATATTTTTTTTATAAATTTGACCCTTTATCTGCCACAGGAAAGGGATTCAAATTAACAACTTTTTCACAAAAAATTAACTTTTTTAACTTAAATTTTGAATGTGTTCAGGAAAGTCTCACACTTTTATATGTATCTTAAATTAAAGCTAATGTAATATACTTTATCATGAAAAAAAAAATTTCGGACTTTATTTTGTCTTCACAGTGAAGATGAATACCGAATGCTATTCAACTTATTGAATAGTGTATGGATCAATACAATTTTTTTATGAGAAATTATATTTATATCCCTCTTTCATTCGACATACTTTATCTTAATCAGGATGTAAATAAGGAAATAGCAGATCATATAGTTTTTGGACTAATCCAGCAATTTTTTAAAATTAAACACTATCTAAACATTTGCATCGAAGCGTTTTTTATGATAGTGATTTTAATCACTGTCAGATATCATTATACTTGACCCAACTATGCCACGTCACCATTGTCCTGCGACCACCCTGTGCTGGGTTTTTTAAACATTATGTTACAATTACATTTTTAAAAAATGCATGACTCAATTGTATTCTTTAATGATAAATACTTTGTATGTACCTCTGTCATTCGACATACTTTTTTTAAATTGGACCATTTCGCTTTATACAGGGGGAGTTCAAACCTTTAAAAATACTTATAGAAAGTAGAACTTTTTCGGCTTAATTTTTGAAAATTTTCCGGAAATACTGACACTTTTATATATAACTTAAATTAAAGCTTATGTTAGCTTCGATGCGAAGCGAAGAAGGTATTAATTTTACTATGATGTGTTTTTTTTTTTTTTTTTTTTTTTTTTTTTTTT